GAATCTTTAGACCATGTAACCTCTCCAACACCATGTTGATGGCCACTTCAGGGCTCGAGAATGGTGTGTCCGTGCATACTCGGGGACACAACCTGGGGAGTCGCAGGCAGTGTGGCGGAAACAGCAGGCGAATGGAATGACTCCACTTCTCCTACTGTCGGCCCGCTGTCGGCAATGCTGCTCCTGCTGGGAAGCCATCTCCGCCCGGGCGACGAGGTATCTTTCCTCCCATGTCCTTTCCATGGCAGCAACCATCTCCCGCATTCTCCTGGTCCGGGGACTACTATAGCGATGCACATATCGCGTTCTCCCCGTCAGAGGATCTCTGTAGCGGGGCTGTTCTCCTCCTTCTGATGATGACTCTCTCCGATGGCGGCACCCTCCTCCCCTGTAGGCTGCAGATCTTGATTCTCCTGGTCGAGTCCTCGGCATCACAAACTGAAAGAATGGTCGTCGAAGATATGCACGTGAACGGTGCTGTTGACTTCTATGAGATCATGCATGAGCTCTAAACCATTGGGGGCATGAGCAGATATGGTCCTCAAGCGCATGTCGCAAAGCCTTACCAGCTGCATTGTCGGCCTGAGCTGTGCGTTGCCTGACAGGCTGGAATACCACATTCCCCGCTCTCCTCTGACAACCATGTCGAAGGACACGGCCAACATCCTCACCCAAATCAATTAGGATGTTATGCAAAATGCAAACTGCTAGGAACTGTTCTGCTAATGTATCCACATTTGGTTGATGCTGCTTGTAGAAGTTGCGAAACCTTGCCTTCAGCACTCCATTCCCATGTTCGCTATCCACTCGTACAACCTTCAATCGCGCATCAAATGCTGCAGTGAGCCTGCTCGCGTTCCTGGGACCATAAGGGGTAATGGGCCAGGAAAGGAGGGGATAACCCGCATCCGCCAACAAATATCCTCTTGGTGCATACACAACACCCTGCAGACAGACTGGCCGGTCCTGCTCTACAAATAGTTGCCCTCCCCAGGCGCTACGGTAGAGAGAAGAACTTCTCAACACCATGGAATCGTGCACGGTGCCCGGATGTCCGACGTTCAGATCCAGAATGCGTAAGTGATGATCAAAAATAATCTGTGCGACAATTGAAAAACGCTTCGTGCGCCCAGAACAATAATCATCCCCACAAGCATGTGCAGGTTTTTCTATATATATATGGGTGCAGTCAATGCACGCCCAGCAGCCAGGGAAACCATGCTCTGCATACCATGCCATGGACGCAGCACGATCCTGGGGTGAACCAAAGGTTATTGCAGATGGGAAGCTGGACACAAGAGCGTGTGTTACGTCTTCCACTGCGCGCAGGCCCGAAGCTTTGCCCATCCCATAAGCACTTGTGCTGTGCCCGTAGCTGTCGCCACTCGCCCATCAATGAACTGCATAAGCCAGGAGTTGTGCAGGGTGTAGAGGCTGCCTGAACCTGGTGACTTGTCTTTGCAGGTGAGGCGTCAGAATCTGTACGAGCATCTCAAACGTGCTCCTACTCATGCGAAGAAGTGCCATGTAGTGATCTTTTTCAGCATCATCTCTAACTCGGAGATCCTTCCACAGACCACCCGCACGGCGCATCATCCACCACCGCGGCGGCTCACGAGGCATCAGATCCGCTATCTCTGTTATGATGGGCAGCGTCACCCCGGCACGCTGGAAATCCAAGTGATCACTAGACAGTCCGCCTGGAATACTGG